GAAATGTAAAATCATTCTAACTGAGCGAAATACAAGGTGTCAGTAGAGCTCATTCTTTCTGGATGCTCTTAAGGGAGCATTGCCTTTTGCAGGTTTTATTTATTTTTAAAATTTCTTTATTGATTAAGGTGCTACATATGTGTCCTTACTCCCCATTAACGCTCCCCCCAATCCCTTTCACTCATGACCGCACCCCCCTGTCGGCTGTGTCCATTGGTTAGGTTTATATGCATACAAGTTCTTTGGTTCTCTCTCTCTTACCCCCACTTTCCCTACTTTCCTTCTCAGGTTTGATGGTCTGATTGATGCTTTTCTGTCTCTGGATCTGTTTTTGTTCATCAGTTTATGTCGTTCATTATATTTCACAAATGAGTGAGATCATGTGATATTTATCTTTCTCTGCCTGGCTTATTTCACTTAGCACCATGCTCTCCAGTTCCATCCATGCTGTTGCAAATGGTAAAAACTTCTTTTTTTTTTTTTTTTACCACAGCATAGTATTCCATTGTGTAGATGTACCACAGTTTTTTAATCCACTTATCTGCTAATGGGTACTTAGACTGTTTACAAATCTTAGCTATTGTAAATTGTGCAGCTATGAACTAGGGGTGCATATATCCTTTCTGATTGATGTTTCTAGTTTCTTGGGATATATTCCTAGAAGTGGGATCACTGGGTCAAATGGTAGTTCCATTTTTAGTTTTTTTTTGAGTAAACTCCATACTGTTCTCCACAGTGGCTGAACCAGTCTACATTCCCACCAGCAGTGTACCAGGGTTCCTTTTTCTCCACATCCTCACCATCACTTGTCATTTGATGATTTGTTGATGATAACCATTCTGACAGGTTTGAGATGGTACTGTATTGTCATTTTGATTTGTATCTCCTGGATGATTAGTGACTTTGAGCAGGTTTTCACATGCCTCTTGGCCTTCCTTCCATCTTTTTTGAAAAGTATCTTAGGTCAGTTGCCCATTTTTTGATTGGGTTGTTTATCTTCCTTTTGTTAAGTTGTATCAGTTCCCTGTAAACGTTGGAGATTAAGCCCTTATCGGTGATAACATTGGCAAATATTTTCTCCCATGCAGTGGGCTTTCTTGTTTTGTTGATGGTTTCTTTTGCTGTGAAAACGCTTTTTATTTTGATGCATTCCCATTTGTTTATTTTCTTCTTAGTTCCCATTGCCTTAGGAGCTGTATCAGTGAAGAATTTGCTTCGGCATATACCTTTTCAGGTTTTAGAGGCTTCCTGTATTTCCTAGTTCTTGGTTCCTTACTCACAGTGGCATCACTCCAAGTTGTGTTTCTATTATCACATCTCCTGTACTGCTTTAACTCTACTGCCCCCCTGTTTTAAGGACCCTTGTGGCTATATTCGACTCACCTGGAAAATATAATATCATATGCATCCTCAATCTCAGGATCCTTAATTTAGTCACATCTAGAAAGTTCCTTTTCCTAGGTAATGTAACATATTCATAATTTTCAGGGGCTAGGATCTGGACATCTTTGAGGGACCACTATTCTGTTGACCACAATGTACCACTCCTCTGCTTAGTCCTTCTATACCAAGGGGAGAGAGACTCACTTCTGATATATCAGCTGTGGGAATCATGAACCATTTATAAACAAATTTGCTTTTAATGGACACAAATGGCCGCAAGAGGGATGGAGTGAAGAACAAGGTGCTACAGCCAGAGTGTGGAGTTATCACAGGACACAGAATTTTGCTTCAAATGATGTTTTGAGTCTCAACTTACACCCTAGAAATTTCCCCTTTAAAACAAGACAAGGAGCCAATATGCTGGGGCCATGGCACAGAAATACTATGGTTCAAAATGAGTCAATAATTTAAAATTTGACTATACAAATTTGTCACACTTTGTAAACAGAGGAGGGAGAATCAGAGAAGGACTATTGGGACCATTCCTATGATTTTGTAGTTTTCTTTCAATCATGCATAAATTCACTACATATCCTATTCACTCTTAAAGGACTTGCTAATTATCTTGGTAGCTCTGGTTTACACTATGAAATCAACTGTATATCTCTAAATTTCCAAGCATGAATTATGTGTATATACGTGTCTGTGAGAGAGTGTGTGTGCACCTGTGTGTTCCATGAGTTCCTTTAATTCATTGGTCTTTAACATTCATCCTATATTAAACTAACTCTAAACCTACCTGTTTCTGTCCCAGGCATTACCTTTTAACCAGTCCATAACTATTTTAAACACATTTTTATAAGCAATAAATCCCTAAGAACTGTTTATTTTAATTATAATTTCATAATCATCTGTTCAAGGCCTCGCAGTGTTTTAATCACTTTTAGCTGAATTATTACAGTCATCCAGAAGACCTTCAGATGAAAGTCTTCTAAAATCTCATTTCTTTTCTGTTGTTGTCTATGCTGTTTTAGTGGATTGAAACACATCATCCTCTTTCATCAGCCACTATCATACCCTTATTATGAAATGAAATCCAAATTCCAAACCTCTCATTTAAAACTCTCCAAAAATTTATTGCAACTCCCTTTTCCAACAACAAACTTTCATTACACCAAATATAAGTCTTGACCCACAGGTTGAGAATCACTAGCAGAGTTGCCCAAGACCATCGGAAAACACAGATATTTACATTACAATTCATAACAGTAGCAAAATTGCAGTTATGAAGTAGCAATAAAAGTAATTTTATGGTTGGGGGGTCACCACAGCATGAGGAGCTATATTAAAGGGTTGTGGCATTAGAAAGGTTGAGAACCACTGCTTTAATGGATATATTCCACCCACTATCTGCTAAATGAATCATTTATGCTAATGACGTAATTTGCAAGGTCAAATTGTTAAACCAGACTTTTTAGAACTACAGAGTTTACTTAATATGCTAATGTTATGGTAAGGCTATACAACCACTCGCTATGATGTGTACTGACCACCAGGGGGCAGACAGTTGACCACTCAACCATGATGTGCACTGACCACTGGATCTCCAACATCCCCTGAGGAGTCCCAGATTGCGAGAGGGTGGAGGCCAGGACGAAGGACCCCACCAGTGCATGATCAGGTCTGGGAAGGGATGTGGGAGGTTGTTCAGCAGGGGAGAAACCATGGGAGGACTCTAGGGTATGTCCAGTTGACCAGTTGCTATGATGTGCACTGACCACCAGGGGGCAAATGCTCCAATCGGTAAGTTAGGCTGAGGTTCAGCTGATCAGGACTGAGCCAGATGGGCTGGACATACTCTTTGGGGAATGTTGGAGAGCCAGTTTCGGCCCCATCCCACAGGTTAGGCCAAGAGAACCCACTGGTGCATGAATTCGTGCACCGGGCCTTTAGTTTACATATAAGTTGTCTAAGTAATGCATGTGAGACATCATTTACACAAAGAAAATTCTTTCCGACATAAAGATCTCCATTGCATGATATAATCATTACATAGCTAACATTGTAATTTTTCTAGTATGCTATGTCTCATAATTAAAAAACAAACAAACAAAAATAAAACAGGTTTGTTTTCTATAAGCAACTTAGTCCAGCTATACCCTGAAAAAAAGCATTCCACAGAAAAGAACTTCCTATAATTTCTCTACTTGTAAATACCATCATGAGCTCTAACTAAATTAGCATGTTATAAGGAGATTTTACATAGTCCCTGTCTTTTAATATATAGGGCAGTTTGGGGTGACAAAGCCTGCACCAGGCCTCTAGTATGTATGTGTGTATATATATATATATATATATATATATATATATATATATATGTGTGTGTGTGTGTGTGTGTGTGTGTATTTTCATATATACACACACACTCACACACACACACACACACATACATGCATACTAGTGGCCCTGTGCACGACATTCATGCAGGGGGGGGGTTGTCCCTCAGCCCAGCCTGCACCCTTTCCAATCTGGATACCTCAAGGGATGTCCAAGTGCCCTCTCACAATCCAGGACTGCTGGCTCCCAACTGTTCACCTGCCTGCCTTCCTCATTGCCCCTAACTGCTTCTGCCTGCCAGCCTGATCACCCCCTAATCACTCCCCTGCCAGCCTGATTGATACCTAACTGCTCCACACCCAGCCTGTTTGCCCTAATTGTCCTCCTCTACAGACCTGGTTACCCCTAACTGCCCTCTCCTACTCACCCCCAACTGCCCTTTCCTGCAGGTCTGGTCCCCCCCAATTTCTCTCCCCTGCTGGCCTAGGTCCTCCCAACGACCCTTCCCTGCAGGCCCATTCACCCCTATCTACCCTCTTCTGCAAGCCTGGTCACCCCTAACTGCCCTCCCCTGCAGGCTGTCACCCCAAATTGCCCTCCCTTATAGGTCTGGTCCCTTTCAACTGATCTCCCCTGCTGGCCTGATCGCCCACAACTGCCCTCTTGCACACCCCCTACTGGGGATGTGTCCTCAACCAAGGTACATGCCCTTGACCAGAATTGAACCTGGGACCCTTCAATCCTCAGACCGACGCTCTATCCACTGAGCCAAACCGGTTTCAGCCTGGTACTTTCTTTTTTTTATAAAGAAATTGCCCCTCCCCTCTGAGATATGTCAGTCTATTCCATGCTTCCATGCTTCTAGACCTATTTTGTTCATCATTTTATTATGTGTATTATATTCCATTTATAGGTGAGATCATGTGTTATTTTTCTTTCTTTGGCTTATTTCACTTGTTTATGAATATTATTTTTACCATATTTGATTGACTCTAAAGTACCACCAATGAAAGGAAGCATCCTGATCAAAATGTGAAAAGATAACGTATCTTAAAACCAATGAAGTACAGTACAGTCAAACCCACCGACATGGTCCCCACCACTAAATTAGGCCTCAGGGTGTTTCATGGGGCCCTGTACTTGAATAAATGAAACCAGGACCACAAGAGATTGTCGAAGGCATCTGACCATTTATTGGGGGAAAGAAAGGGAACAGGGGGTATAAGGAACAGGAGAGCCTGGAGACTAGGCTCAGGCCTTGCCCTCCATGCTGATCACAGTCAATAAAGCAATAACAGCATGCCCAACACCAGGCAGGTGTTGGCCCCCAACTTCATGCTGCCGGAGAAGGTTTGGACCCGGTTACACAGTTCGCCTTTGCAGCATCTGGAGCTGAGCTTGTAGGTGTTATGCTTGTAGAGGACAGACTCTTGAAGGTGGCCACATGAAGTGGATAACTTGCAGCCTTTGTTGATGACGGGACCGAGGCCGGGGATTATCCCGTAGCTCGTGAAGCACTTCTCATCGTCGGCACAAGGCATGCTGATGCCGGTGCAGGTGGAGGACTCGATCATATCACAGAACTCGCACGCCTTGATACCTGTTGTGACAGGGGACAGAGCCAACACAAGAAGCAGTAGCCAGCTGAGGGCCATGGTAGCCTGGCAGCGGTGGGCCTCCTGGAACTGCTGAAGACCTTTGGCCCTGGTTCTGGCCTCTCGGGGTCAGCAGTTGGAGTGTCCTTGGTTCCCAACCCTCTGTGTCCTTCTCAGGAGCTTCTTTGTGTCCACTGCTCTCAAGTCCTAGGGTCTCTGAAGTATCCCTTGGACAGAAACAAGCCACAGGTTGTTGCCTGATGAGTCTTTGTGGAGCGGAATGGGGTGACCTCACAGACCCTTTCAGGGTTCCACTGGTCACTCTGCGAGTGAGGTCATAGGTGGGGGAGGAGTGTCACCTTCTGAGGGACAGTTGGGCCACTGACCTGCCAGGGAGCAAGGACATTGTCATCCCACTGAGTTCTTCTGTTCTACTGGGTGTTGTGCCTGCCGAGTGCCCAAGGCAAGCCCATTTTTCAGAAAAGCAAACTAAGGCTCAGGAGGAGAAAGTGACATGTCCAAGGCCCTAGAGCCAGGATTAGAGCCCAGGTTTATTTAATTCCTTAGAGAGCATTCATTGAGCACCTTCTGTGTGCAATACCAGTGCTGGATTGCAGGCTTCTGGCATTGGGCACATGTGGGGCACTGCACAGAGAGCTCCACCCATGGGCAATTGTTCAATTCTTTCTATGTGTTAGCTCCTTCTCTCAAGTGACAAACAGGCACACAGAGCAGGCACAGCCAGAGCCTGGCACACAGCATGTGCTTAACAAATGGGGGTCATTATAGGAAGCAACTGAGTCTCAGAACAGTCCCCATGAACTATGTCTCTTTCCAGAGGCAGAAACTGAGGCATCCCTCAGTGGGAACAGGCAAAGTCAGGATTAAACTCAGGTCTGAGTCCAGATGATAATTTAAGTATCATAATGTGTTGTCCTCATGGGGTAGGTACCTTGGTGGTCCCCATTCTACAGAGGAGAATGTTGAGGCCAGAGGGTGGCTGGATTTTCTTTTTAAATTATTGTTGACAGTATTACACATGTCCCCCAATGAACAGCTCCCTCTAACCGCCCCCCATGTCCCAACCCCCCCACCAGGCTTTCACCACACTATAGTCTGTATCCATTTGTTATGCATATATATACATAAATTCTTCCTGTCTTCTCTGCCCCTCCCCTCTGAGGTATATCAGTCTATTCCATGCCTCCAGCCCTCTGGACATATTTTGTTCATGAGTTTATTATGTTCATTAGTTTCCATCTATAAGTGAGGTCATGTGTTATTTTTCTTTCTCGAACTGGCTTATTTCACTCAGTGTAATATTCTCCCTGCTGTTACAAAGGGTAAGAAATCATTTCTTTTACCCCAACTACATAGTATTCCATTGTATAAATGTGCTACAGCTTTATTATCCACTCATCTACTGATGGGCAGTAGATGAGTGGATAAAAAATTTGGGCTATTTCTAGATTTTAGCTATTATAAATAATGCTGCTATGAGCACAGGGTTGCATATATTCTTTCTAATTGGTGTTTCAGGCCTCTTAGGATATATTCCTAGAAGTACTGTCACTGAGTCAAAGGGTAGTTCTATTGATAATATTTTTAGTTACTTCCATACTGTTTTCCATATTGGCTATACCAATCTGCATTCCTACCAGTAGTGTACTGGGGTTCCATTTTCTCCACATCCTCACCAACACTTGTTTGTTGATTTATTCATGGTAGCGATTCTAGCAGGTGTGAGGTGATATCTCATTGTAGTTTTAATTTACATCTCTCTTGACAATTTGTGACATTGAGCATCTATAATAATAAAAGTGTAGTATGCTATTAGACTGGATGTCCTTCTGGATTAAGCCAAGGAGGCCACTGAGGCAGGTGGGGGCCATGGCAGAGGAGATGGCCATTGCGGCAGTGGGAGCCGAGCCCCTTTCACGAATTTTGTGTATTGGGCCTCTAGTTTTTTTTCATAAGCCTATTGTCCACCAGTATGTCCACTTTGGAAAAGTGCCTATTCAAATCTTGTGCATATTTTGAAAATAGGGTTGTCTTCCTTTTGTTGAGTGTATGAGTTCTTTATATGTTTTGGAAATTAACCCCTTATCAGATGTGTCATTGACAATATGTTCTCCCATACAGTGGGTTACCTTTTAATTTTGCTGATGGTTTCTTTTGTTGTGCAGCAGCTGCTTAATTTGATATGGTCCCATTTGTTTATTTTTTCCTTTGATTCTCTTTCCCCAGGAGATATACACTGAGTGGCCAGATTATTATTATCTCTGAAAGCACAATAATTTGGCCACTCAGTGTGTGTGTGTGTGTGTGTGTGTGTGTGTGTGTGTGTGTGTGTGTGTGTATCAGAGACCTGATGCATTAATTCGTGCAGGTCCGGCCAGCCTGCCAGGGGGAGGGGACATGGGCAGTTGGCCAGCCTGCCTGCTAGTTGAACTCCTGGTTGAGGGGATAATTTGCATATTAGCCCTTTATTATATAGGATATATGAGTGGCCATGTTATTATGCATTCAGACATCATAAAAATCTGGCCACTCAGTGTATACTAGCAGGTGAAAATTCTGCTACATGAGATGTCTGAGATTTTATTTTTTTATGATACCTTCTAAGATTTTTTTATGGTTTTGTGATTTTCTATAGTTTTATATAATTTCCAAAATATATAAAGAACTCATACACTCAACAAAAACATAAAGTCCTTTATCCATTTAAATCCTTTATCTATTTTGAGTTTATTCTTGTGTGTGGTGTAAGTTGGTGATCTAGTTTCATTTTGTTGCATGTACCTGTCCAATTTCCTCAGCACCATTTATTGAAAAGACTGTTTTTACCACATTGTATGCTCTTGCCTTCTTTGTCAAATATTAAATTGACCATAATGATGTAGGTCTCTGTTCTGTTACATTGATCTATATGCCTGTTCTTGTGCTAGTGCTAGTACTAGGCTGTTTTGGTTAAAATGTCTTTGTAGTATAGTTTGAATCTGGTATTGTGATCCCTCCAACTTTGTCACAGCGGTGGGGCAGCCAGCCCTGGGTTGCAGTGGCAGTGAGGCCAGGGACACTGGGTTGTGACCACGCCCAGCAGGCTCCTCCTGAGTAGATCCTCCAAAATGGCTCATTCTCCAATTCCCAATGGCAAGAATTACCCGGACTAGCAGAGCACAGAGGTAGCCAGGGACTCCTCCAGCAAGAGAGCCCAAACCACCCACCACAAGTCCCCACATCTATAGACAGAAACCACACAGACATGTACATAAGCTCTCCCTCCCACACAGTCATTCACTCACTCACTCACACTCTTATACTCACTCTGGTCCTGCCTGGCACCATGTTGTTCTCCTAGGACAGTTTGGTTTCTGTTAGGTATGTGTGTGTGTGTGTGTGTGTGTGTGTGTGTGTGTGTATGTGTGTGTGTTTAATTTATCATTATTGTTGAAAGTACTTCAGCTTTTCTCCTACCCTCCATTGACTCCGCCCTCCATCCTGTTCCCCTGCAAGCCTTCACTGTACTATTGTCTATATCCATGGGTTATGCTTATATGCATATAAATTGTTTGGTTAATCTCTTCCTGACCCCCCCAACTTTAAATTGCTTTGAATTTGTTATTATCACCCTGACTGAAATATTACAAAATTGGATAATTTAATTATCAGAAAATGCTATAAATATGCTATTTTCATCCTTTTCACATAAAATCATTAAGATATTAGAAGTCTAAGCAATTTGTTTAAGATAACATAAGAAGAGGGTCTGGTATTTGAACCTGGGTCTGAGTTACACTTAGCATTACATTTTTTTAGGGCAAAAATATGAAATGGGTAAAATTTGTCTCTGAAGCCCTCCCCTGGACCTTGCTATCAATCCTGTAAATAACTTTAAACGTATTAACTGATAGGTGCTTAAAACATGGCTTCATCCAGGAATATGAACATTTTTAACATTTTAAAATTAAGGAATAAAAAAACACATATTTTAGTTTTTGGCTCTTCTCCATGCTACATAGCTTGACACGGAAATAAAACATAGCATAAATTTATTCACTTGCCTTCTACCCCGTCCCTTTAACCTCACATGCTATGCTAAGCAAAGTATTTCAAAAGCTTGTTTAAGATGTGTTTTTCCTGTAATTAAGTTTTAAAAACACCAACACCATGCTGAATATGATTGGAATCCTTCATTGATTCCTATGTGTTTCTATGTACCCTGTTTCTCCGAAAATAAGACAGTGTCTTATATGAATTTTTGCTCCCAAAGATGCGCTAGGTCTTATTTTCAGGGGATGTCTTATTTTTCCATGAAGAAGAATAAGGTACACATTTATTGTTAAATGAAAATAAAGGAAATTTATTAACTGTACACGGTATGGTAGTACAGTAGTTGTCAACACAAAGTAGACAAACTGTGAATCCTACAGTATCAAGAATTTACTCATTTATTCAATGACAATCATATCATCTTCTGGAACATCATCATAACAATCCAATTCCTGAATTTCCTGGTGAATTTCTTGTGACTCCATTTCTTTCAGAATCAGTGGACCAAATCTCTCATGTTTATTTTTGGGGGGATGCTATATATTCTACTAATAAGGAAGCCTGTAAGTAGGTCTTATTTTTGGAGGATTTCTTATTTTCAGGGAAACATGGTAGCATCCATTCTGCAAAAAGCTGGAAATAAAAAACAAAAAAACAAAACCTACATTTCCCAGACTCCCTTTCAGCTAGGATGCTGAATATGAAATGGCTCCTTGCAACAAGATTCACTCATATGAGATTCACTCAAATGCTGTTTCTGCTGGCTCAGTGAGGTTGTGAGGCTAATAGCATGTCTAGAAAACATGGTGGCAGTCAATCAAAATCAGGATTTCAGAATGAAGTAACCAACTTGTAGGTATACAGAGATAGTTGTCCAAAGGCAGCCTTCTAATCCTTGGAACAAATCTAAGGTATCATGTTCTTAAACACAAAACTGAATAGTCTTTTTAAAATTTGGAAGGGTGAAACTCAAATTCAGTGTATTAGAAGATCATATAAAAACAATA